ATTGCTTTCAAGTCACCTACCATGTCACCTTTTTGTGCAGCGGTTGCAAAGAAGATGTAGGCCTACTACAATTCCCAGAAGGTTGGCAGTTCATCAAGCACCCCCATCTGTCATTCCTCTGTGGGTACCATCCTCAAACCACTGTAATGTTCCCAAAAGCGCGGCCCGGCGGATCGGTGCAGCAGTTTTGGAGTTCCGGTGAAGAGGGCCATGCCAAAATGGTTGTTTGAGGCGTCTCTACAGGGAAGAGCCCCGTATTATCACAGTGTTTCATGAGGCTTCGTAACATAAAACCACAGACCAGCAGTCACAACACGGGGTGCCGAACGAACGGAGGAAGTCGGGGTGCCCCTGTCACATCCACTCACTGGGGACTAAAAACCCACCCCGTTTTGTGACTCTTGGAGTATACTGCTAACTCAGGAAATGATACTAGTTGAGTTTGAGTTATGAGCCCGACCGTAGCAGTTGGCTTCGTAACACAAAACCCTATTAATATTTATATATATATATATTATATAAATTCATCAGATTCACATGACTTTGCTACACCTCCCACTCACCTTCCTAGCGTGAGGAATCAACGATGCTCCCGCCCTGGCGGCCGCAGATGTGGGTGTAGCCATCGGAGCTGGACAAAACGCCGCTGGACCGAATGGGTTTTGAAGGGGCATGGTGGGTGCAGGGGTTGAAGGGTGGTAGGCGTGTTGTTCTCGGGGCATGGTAGGTGTTGAAGGGACGTGGTGGGTACCCAGAAGAAGTTTTTTGAAATTTGTGGACTCTCAGATTTATGTGCAGCTGGTCTGGTAGCAGGGCTCAAGCACAGCCAACAGGAGGCAGGGCACACACTTGAGGGGTAGATAACATTCGACTTTCTATTTGTTGATTACAGGTACCTGGACCTAGCACCAGGATGTTACAAGAACCCCGCAAGAATAGAGGCATGTTCACCATCTTTCAGGTGTAGAGAGATGTTCACTCACCATCTTTCCAGAGATGGGTTTTCCAGATGAACCTCCTGGCGGCCAAGTCTTTTTCATCATGATCTGCTTGCATGTTCGACTCGGCCCCCCCCACCCAAGTACTGTATACGTTCGACTGGCAGGCAACACAGCAGACAGCTGGTTCGCTGCAGGAGGACCAGCTGTTCGATGGTCCTTTTAAAACCACCTCCACTGGACGAATGACCATGAATGGTCTGTTTTGGAGGAGCATGCTGAATGGATTCCCTCAGGTCGTTTGCCGGTGCCACGTGGCACCGCGCACTAACGTGGGCACGTGCGAGATCCGTCAGGTGACGGTGGAAGCTGCAGATCTGGTGCTGGTGCGGAGCGATCTTCGAGATTTGCTTGCGAGCCGGCATTGGTTTCAAGAGTCTTATCATTGGGGGATGGTGATGGTGAGTTGTGTAAACTCCTACATGACCATGAGTTTCTCCTAAGCTCCATGGTGGGGTCTCCTTCACTCATGTGCCATTACGTTTCTAGTCTTGCGATGACCTGCTGTTGCCTGTTGCAGGAGCAAGCATGGCCCGAGCATGGCACCAAATGCCATTCCAAATTTGCAACGCTGGGTGCATCTCACGCCATTTGAATCCATTTTGTAGCTGGAAAAGGTACCTCAGGGTTTTTGAGAGGAGATTGTCAGGGACTACAGTACATTGCAATAGTTGAACAACATTGGAGACGCACGCGCACACGCACATGTATGTTCATGCACACATACATACACACCATTATATACCCAACAGATCCAAAGACCCAGTAAAGCCCGATCCTTGACCTAATTCAGTATAGTGCTTTTGTATGATCGCCGATCACCTCCACTTCAATACGGTCAAACTGGCCTGGATACCAGAAGCTTGGATACCAGGTGGGCTCGGCTCAGAAGCTTCAAGGACGCCAGTCTTCCTCTTCTTTCCGTCGGTGCTCCCCCAACCAGAGGGACTCCGTCGTGTCACGCGGTGGCCCACGGCGTGACCTCGGCGGTGACCTCCACCGAGGCCTTCTTCGCCCTCGCCAAGGAGACGCTGCGGACGATCTGGTTCAACTTCTTGCGGCTCGGACACGGCGGATGCGGATGCGCGGGCGGAACGGACTTGTGGACACCGGTGGTTCGGGGTTCCGGAGGTTTGGAGTTTGATTGGAGGAGCGGCTTGGGACGGATGGAGGGTTGGATTGGTTCTTGGGAAATTCTGGGTTGTGGTCATGTCCCATCCCTTCCCCAACATGCACGCCTGATCCGCACCGGAACACCGGAACCCGCGCGCATCTTCCGGCGTCGTCGAGGTGGGCCTTTCTCTTCAACACCTGTGCACTGCCGTTGGCCGCGGGCATGTTTTGGCGCTATGGGGTGTGCCTCGCCTCATCATGCGTCGCGTGACACAGGGCGATGGTCTGAAATCAGACCCCAGCGAGGACGCGAGGCTTATCAATCCAAATACGGCACGTCGCGGCTCATTGGGGGTATCAATGGTTTCAAAAGCACACTGGCTCGAGGGCGGAAGCTGCGTGGTGCTTCGAAATTCTGACATTGATATGTGTAGTTATATGTTATATGTACATATTACTACATGTATCTGCGATATATATATAAATTGGAATGTCATGTCTTGAGCTGCTCTCCGCTCTCCGGGTTCGCCTTCCGGGGGGGGTCTAGAGCTGCTTGTCTGAGGCTCATCAACCCGCAGATCGCCTGCACCCTCATGCTGGGCTCGTCCCTCTTCGTCGCCACTTGGCAAAACATCCCTTTGTCCGTCGCGGTTTCGGAACCCGCGCGTCGGATCCGGCATCGAATTGCGCTCATGGTGAACGAGGGACACTTCATATGGAGTGCATGCATCATGCATCGGTTGAGCGGAACTCATCGGAACTCAATCGGTTTTCCGATGAACCAACTAGTCCGATCTGATTCGGATCTGATTCGGTGTGCTGAAGTGCCCGAGGTCTTCAGCTCCTTGCTGTTGAAGCGCTTTGTCCCACCGCCTCTGGACTCGCCGCCGGTGTGAGCGCGAGGCAAAGTCCACGCATCAGAAGCTCTGGCTGTGAGTAGTTGTGCGGCACAGGGCTCATGGCTGAACATCCTTTCGTGGTGGAATTCCAAGCAAGGGTACAAGACCTTTGCTGAAGCTGTAGAGCAAGCACACCGCTGGGTAGCCGGCTGAACTTCAGAACTCCGAAAGCTTCATATCCTTTGCTTCCAGGCCACTCCGCCAGACACGCCCGCTGCCCGGCAGGTGTCGGACTCGACGCCCGAGTCGTCGTTTTTGAGCTGTCCTTTATCTTGATGACATTGCCAGCGGCTCGAGCGCGAGCGGAAAAGGGCACCAGCGGATCGTTCTCTGTAGGTATATAAGTGTGTGCGTGTGTGCGCGTGTGTGCGTGTGTGTCAAGCAGTGGCTGGTGGCAGGGTGATGGTAGATGAAACAGACGACTTCCGGCAGGGTGATGGTAGATGAAACAGACGACTTCCGGACTTTCACAAGTTCTGACTCGCTTTGAGGCTTCCTTCCAGTTGGCTCCAATTATAACCGAATAGTTGCATCTATCCAGCTGTTGCATTGGAGCCCTTGCCTTCCTAGGTCCTCAGACTGATGGTGAACAGCGGCGGCTGTTTCCTGGCCGAATGGCGTGGTGACGTGTTGTGGGGTTTCCAGACCCGACGGCATGGCTGAACTGGACGATCCTGCCCGTTTCATCCTTGGTGGTTCTCAAGGCGGGCAAGACTTGAAAGGAACATCCTCATGACGGATATGGATTTTCAAAGCAGGTGGTTCTCTGACTTGGTTAAAAACTATGGTCCCAGGATTTTCATTTTTTCGACTTGATCGTGTGACTATGTCATGCCCCACATCTCACGGGTTCTCAATCTTCTGTGGTTTCTTTGTCCAATCATTCCACATTTTATATCTTACATTCAATCCATTGCTCTCAGCCAACTCCTTAACCTCAAGATAGAGAGGGGGAGGGGAGGGGAGAAAGAGAAGGGTTATCGTGGGTGTGTATGCAAGACGGGGGCACCCGATTCGCAACTGATTCGCTTAGAACCTCTTTCTTTGGCCCCACACCTGCTAAGGTGATATATTTGTGAAGAGGAGGTAGGGCTTGGGCAAAGCTCTGTCCAAGCTAGGCTCGGGAGTCTCCCACCACCAAGGCTCTGGCTATTCCTATGAGTTCAGCGGCTCGGCGTTCAATGAACCGAAGCGTTGGTCCAGAGACCACGGGGTCCGGCTCTGAAGGAGGAAATGATCTGTGTGGTCTGACTGTCTTTACATGTCGATGTAGACTCTTGATTGAACAACCTTTTCTTTTGGATTGGAACATCCTCTCCATAGGGGGGGGTGACTCTTACTTAAGAGTTCAAACGTGCTTGTTTGCTTTTGCGCGGAGGACTGGAACCAGGCCTCCTGACTGCGATTAGAAGACCAGACATGACCAGACCGTGAGGGCGATTGGGGTCGCGTCAGCGACGGAGGGCGACGAAGTGACGGGATACAGTTGAGTTTTGTTGCATTTTTTTCCGAAACGTCAGCTGGCCACAGCGACCAGCGACGGGCGCGAAGGGACCTCAACGGAGCAACGTGGAACTTTGAAAAGAGTGACATTGACGATATCATGAGCTCTCTTTGCATTGCACGTGATTATACACTATTATATATATATATACATATAATATATATATATATATTATATAAACTATTATATATATACAATATTGTACACTATTATCCATTGACATCTACGGGACACACGTGCCGCACACAAAAGACACACGGATTGAACCGAAAACGATCCAGGAGGTCAGACCAGTCCAGTGTGGCCGTGTGGCCGTGTGGCTGTGTGGCCGGTGGGATCCCAGGATGATGTCAGGAGTCACGTTCGACGGGGGTGGTGTGGCTCGTCCCATCCAGGGGCCGTGGATGTGACAGGGGCACCCCGACTTCCTCCGTTCGTTCGGCACCCCGTCGAACGTGACTGCTGGAGCCGCGGTGGTCAGGTGAAATGGAGCCGAAGGAGGATGACATTGTCATTCAGCAGGCCAGCAGCGGAAGGAGCTTGGAGCTGTTGGAACCCCAACTGGCACGCACCGAGTAGGTGGCGTCGGTGGCGTTGGCTTGCTTGGCCAAGAAGGGAGGTTGAGCCAAAGACATGGTGACATCGCCCAAGACATTGAAACTTCAGGCACCTCAGACACCAAATGGTTTGGCATCACTCTCGTGAGGCCTAAAGGCCTAAATCCGGCTCAGTCCAGGCGGTTTTCCTTTTTTGGTTCGCTATCGATGGGTCAGATCCACAGGAAGGTGCTCGCCTGATCGTGGATGAGCTGTCGATGACGTTCCTGGAAGATTGTGAAATCGACTACACCGAGGAGCGGGGGATGGGCTTTTGGAGGGGCTCCCCCTGAGTGTGCTAAGTGATGCTAAGTGTATGAGAGTGGATGTTGGCCCTGGGCCTTGGGGTTGCCCCTGGCCATGGCCAAGATTGGCCAACAGATTTTCGTTGTTTTCATTCTCTACGGTCTCACCACGAACTGGAGAGAGTCTTCCAAAGTCTTCCGGGCCTATCTCTCGCCATGCCGACTCGGCAGGAGATGATCAGGGCCTCCTTTTCCGTGGTGAAGAACAAGCTGGCCGACTCGAAATGCGGCTGCGGCAGCTCCTTCAGTGCCTTGGTCGGTCGCAGGTGGTCGCCTGGGTCGGTTGCAGTCGAAAGGGGTCGCTGTGGCGGAGGTGTGTCACTCGTCCCATGCGCGGCCAACGGCTCGTGGAGGCCGCCACGCGCAACGCGCCGTGCCCAGGTGTCGCCTCGTTCTGAGCGCAGTTTTCAAGGGCGCCTGGCCTCTTCACTCTCGGCCATGGAAGAGTGGCAAGCGGAACCCAGCAGCGATTTATGGAATGAATCTGTTGGATGGAAGCAGGTGAAGTGTAGTTCATGGCGTGTCCCTCTTCAGGGCCGACGGTCAGGAATTTGGGTGTAGAACGACGAGGCTCTCGTGCCAGACGTGGAAACAGCCCACGTTTTGGGCTTTGGGCGGGGTGTGATGTACAGAAATCCCAGCGCCAAGTGATGGGCAGGATGGGTCAGGATGGTCCAGCATGGCGGAATCGCAGGATACTTGCACTGTACTTGTGGGACAAAATGCTACCAGCCAGCATGAAGATAGGCCCTATTTTCCAGGGCCTCCAGGGCTTTTCTGCAACACATTCGACATCGTGAGTGGTAAGGTCTCCGATGCAAGGACGCAACTGTTCCAGTCCTGGAACCCAGTTTGTGTAGTTGAAGGACGAACTTCTGCATCAAAACAACTCCAATGCTTATGAGGAAAGGATGGCTCCTAGATCGACGGACGGTGCAGGAGAACTCGTTGAGGAGACGGCGTGCCGCACGCGTTTCACTCGGGGGGGCGGCTGAGACGGCTGAGACAGCCCTTGTGGCAAGGTGCTTGTGCATGCTTGTGCATGCTGAGTATCAAGGCTTTTAACCGCTTGGTGTACCAAGGCATTCAGACCACGCCAAGTTTCCATTTCGCATCAATGAAGCTTCATTGCTTGCACCTGACCTGCTTTCATGCCAAACAATACTTCTTGGTCAGCCATTGGTTGAACACGAGTCGCTGGCAGCCTAGTTGGGGCTGCCCATCTGCATGGGTCAGTCTCTGCCTTCGCTCCCGGTGAAGAAACATAGACTGCGCAAGTGGAGATGAGACAGAACTTTTTTTGTCCTTGGGGTCACCTTTGAAAGAGCGCTTCGCCAGGTTTCCCCTGGAATTGGAGACCTAGGGTGGATGAAACTCTAGGTAGGCTTGGCAGCTTGACCAAGCTGAGGAACCAAGGGTTTGACCATCTTCCAGAAGTCTGGAAGTAGCCACAGGCAGAGCTGCCTGTGATGAGACACATGTTTCGGGGGGGCCGAGAAGAAGACAGAACTCACATGTAGATGCAGTATGATGAAGCTAGAGGCCCATGGGATGGATTAAGGGCTTGAAGCTAGAGGCACATCCCTGAGGCACATCGGTGACCCCTTCTTCACCTCATCATCTCTTGCAGCAGCAGACCCGGTTCGGACCTCATGCCGAAAAAGGAGGAGCGTGCCACGCGGCCCCGACGTCCCACCTCGGACCGCGGTGCAAGGCATTTCGATACGATGAACCGATCGAAAACGTCAGAGGCTGCCAAGCACCGCGTCGGTCAGAGGCTCTGAGCACTTGGAAGGTGTTTGGAGGCGTTACGGCATTTGCTCCGTGTTTCGTTGACCAAACACCTCTGCCGTTTGGGGCTTCCAAAAGCCGCTCCGCGACGCTCCGCGTACTCCGTACTCCGCCCACGTCCAAGAGAAACAACCCCACGGTCTCGACACAGCTGAACACATGGCGCGCTTTGCTTCGGTGCTCTTGGCACTCCTGGGCAGCGTGAGCGCAGTGGAGCTCACGAAGGACTCACGAAGGGGCGGAAGTCCGAGCTGTGCGCCGCTTGGAGGTTTGAGACACTTCCCCACAAAGAAAGAGTCGCAGACGTGGCAGATGCTATGAGTCAACTCAAGATTTTCAGGCCCTGGCTACTAGGTTGGAGGCCATCGCTATTAGAAGAAAGGTCTAACATGGTCTAACGTAGTTTGCTATTAGCTTGGAGGCACCGGTGCACCGGCTCAAGGCACTGCCTGCGACCTCGAACCGCGCCTTCCACCCGCGCCCCGGTGGGTTACGCGAGCCGTAGAAAGACAGACCCCGCCGGTCGCCATGGGAAAGACGCGCGTCATCTCCAAGGGATACCGGCATGGCACACGCGACACCTGGCTTTTGGCGGTGATCGGATGGTACCATTCTTGATTTTTGGATCCTTCCTGAAGTGAATTCCCCCCTTGTCCCATGCCAGGTTTTTTGAGATTTGTCCGGCACCGGCCGCCAATCCCAGGACAAGTATTCCAAGAAGTACCGCACCAAGGGCAGACCCGGACTGGCCAGGTACTTGGTGAACTTCAAGCGGGGTGACTACGTGGACATTGTCGCGGACCCCTCGATCCAGAAGGGATTGCCCTACTCCTTCTACCACGGGCGGACGGGCATCGTCTTCAACGTGAACCGCAACGCCCTTGGGGTGGAAATGACCAAGATTGTGGGCAACCGCCAGCTGCGCAAGCGCATCCACGTGCGCATCGAGCATGTGCGCAAGTCGCGGTGTAACGAGTCCTTCTTGCACCGAGTGAAGGAGAATGACAAGAAGAACCTAGGTTTTGCATGGTTTTGCTTAAGGTGATGTTCTGTTTTCCATTATTTTCACTATGTTTTTCTTTCCGCCTTCTGGGGAATGGTTTTTGTTTTTTGTTTCCCCGACTCCTTATATAAGCAAATCCAAGGAAGCAGCAGGCCAAGAAAGAGGGCAAGAGCATTGTTTGCAAGCGCATCCCTGAAGGGCCCAAGGAGATGAAGACCGTGACGGCCTCTCAGGATGATGTCGAGGTGCTTGCACCTCTGCCCTTTGTGGAGAACTACTTCTAAAGAGCACCATGCCAGGCGAAGATTCAAGTGCTAGTGCAACTAGTGCGAGGGGCGGTTCAGAGCAGGCAAAAAAGTGGCGAGTTGCAGCAACAACTTTTCGCTTGAAGATCCTCTCAAGATTGTGCCAGACCAAAGCTTGGAACTGCCTCAGAGGGTCTCAGCAAACGCTTGCATCCCGCTGCAGGAATCTTGGGATGAGAAGACGAGCGGCAAGAGCGCTTCTCGGTTGGTTCTTGTTGCCCGGGGCATGTTTGCTTTCGGGCATGGGTGACCAGGAAAGAGTCTCCAAGGTGCAAATTGATCGTCTTGGGGGGGGCTGGAAGGGGCATCACCTCTTTCTGGGCTCCAGTTTTCCTTTCGGGCATGTCCCCAATTCTTTCCTCAATTGGGCTCACCTATGCTAACCTTTCCTCCATTGGACTATTTTGGCCAACTGGCCGTGTTCTTCCGCCCCGAACGGACCGCCTGGGCCGGACCGGGTCCGTCGCGCCGGACCGCGCGGTTCGTCCGGAAGTCCGGGACCGAGGAGCGACCGGGGACGACGGAGCCCGGAGTCCGTCTCTCAAAGGAAGACAGACCGCCCGGGGGATCGCCCAGGGGTCGCCCGTTTCGGCGGTACACAGAACCCGCGCGGGGTTTGTGTGAGGTTTTCTGCTTGGCCCTTGGCATCTCTGCATCTCACCACTCGGCTTGAGGTTTTTGTGAAGTTCTATGCCCCCTGGTGCGGTCACTGCAAGGCGGGGATTGGTTCTGTTTTTGAGGGTTGGTATGGTATGAGGACAGAAATTCCTTCAGCACGGGTTCCTCCCAATTCTTTTCTGTGAGGACTTGTCTCTGACCTCAGCCTCTGACAAGTTGATCATGTGACCCGTGAGAGGCCATGAAGCCTGCCTGGGACAAGCTCATGAAGCAGTACGACGGACATGCCTCCATCGTGGTGGCAGACGTGGCACCTCGGAGCGTGGCGGAGCGTGGCGGACGTGGACCGCGGGTGAAGGCAAAGGCGCATGCCTTTTTAGGTAGCAACGACGGGCGTTGTTGGTTGGAGACAGACATGTGTCCACGGCAAGTTTGGTCCTCCTGGACTCCTGGATGGGTTCAGATGTGGTTTTTGAAGGATGCTTGCATCGAACAGCTGGGAAGATGGTGAAGGAACACTCGCAGACAGGCATTCCACCGCAACGGGCCCCTTGACCGACCTCACTTCCAAACGCTGACCTCCTTGTACATTGGAAACTGACCTTGTATAGGTTGTATCCTCCAGACATGGAAGCTGAGCAGGTCCAGACATGGAAGAGGAAGATGGTCTTGCAGGGGGGGACGAACCGTTCCACTTCCACAAGTGTATCGCTACTAGTAACAAGTGCATTCCTACTATAGCAGCAAGAAGATATATATACAACGAGCTATGTACTACTAGTAGCAATGCCAGGAGCTACAAGTAGCTTCTTGTTACTAGATGTTACTAGTAGTATGGTGCCTTGCTACTAGTTTTTGTGCTACTAGTAGTAATGCACTTGTTACTACGATTCATTGGGGCCGAACCGTCGCAGTCCCTCAACCCTCCACACAGTTCGCCATGTCCCTCCCCGGGCGGCCCGTGCGGCCCATGACCTGAGGACTGCATTGGGGAAGGCAAGAGCATGTGCCCGGGCTCCTGGTCGGGTCGGGTGTCAGTCCGGTGCCCGGGCTCCTGACCGTTTTTTCGTGTGCGGTTCTGAAACAAAGGGAGTTGAATGGTTTCCATGGTGTATCATGATGTGTCATGTGTATCCTCTCTCTCTCTCTCTGTGCATCTTTACTTGGGAGCAGTGGCATATAAAGACCACCCCGCCCACCCTCGGCTGTTTTGAGCTGTTCCTTCTTCGACGCCGAATCGGACGCTCAGGCGATGATGTGGGAGTGGAAGGCTTTCCCACGATCAAGTTCGGGGACCCTGCCAATCTGGAGGCCCCGCCCATGGCTCTTCGGCTCCTTCGCCTTGCCTTCGCGTTGCTTGCGCGCCATTGGTTGCCAGCGCGCTAGGGGTTTTGGCGCGCGGCCTTTGTTTTCCAGGGAAAACACCAACAAACTCGAGGATCTACTAGGGCTGCTAGGGTTCTCAATCCGATGCCTGCAGCTTCATTGAGTTCGCGACCGTGAGGACTACGAGGGCGAGCGCGAATTCGATGACTTGGTCAAGTTTGCCAAGGAGAACCTAGGACCCAGGCAGGCGACGACATGACGAAAAACCAACAGGTCTATGGATGTCTGTGGAGGTTGTTTGACAAGTCGAACAGCCCTACATACCTGGATCTTCCAACTAAGCAACATGTCCGCCTTGTCAGCCAAAAAGACCTCAAATGCAGACATTTTGCAAAGCTAGAAGATCCAGATAGAAACCCCCCCCCAGAGTCCAACCTGAACCAAAATAGTAGGTCCATGTGTGCATCGTAGAAACGGCCCCATAGGCATCGGTCAATCGGGACCGATAGGACCGATAGAAAGAAACCTACCTGGATTATCCTGGGGTACCAGTAGACTTATACGTAAAACAGCTACATGTGGGCCGACCGTGTCAGGCGTCCATCAGGATGATTCCTAGTTGGGGGTGTCCCATTACCGATGGAAAGGCCTTCAACCTAATTATATCCATACCGTCCATGCCAACATAACCATCTTCCACTGGGCCCAGGGAAGGAGAGACCCCAATCTCCAGACCACTGCGGGTCCCTTCTGCCTCGGCGGCGGCTCTCGCCAGATGCGGCCCGGCGAACCTGGACTTGTGCGACGCAGCGCCTTGGGTGAAGGCGAAAGGCGAAAGGCGAAGGCTTCGGAGGTGGTCGAAGGTGGTCGACCGGAGGCCAGAACACGAGACCGGAGGCATTGGGATTGATTGGGTCTCCTTTGTTGGTCTTTCGATGTTTCTTTTCGGAGTTGTGGGATGTGCGAGTTGGGCTATAATTACTAATATGTATATATGTTTTACTTATTCTTTTTGCAGCCATCTCCCAAGGCATTTTGTGGAAAGACGGGGGCGAACAAAAAGAGACATAATTAATCCGAGATACAAGGACCGGAGGTTGCCGCCTGCATGTGGATCAGACCGTTTGAAAACGTGCTGCCTTGCCCGAACGGAAACACCGCGAAGCCAACAAGCAATCTCGGCTGCTGTGTGAAAGAAGTTGGACTTTTGGGAAGCCGAGAGGCAGTGCCCCAAAAGCCCATGCCTTAGAGAGGCACATGCGACCAGAAAAAGATCACTTCTTAGTCGCTGAGGACAAGAAGAAGAAGATCGAGGAGTACATGAACATGCCTGCGGCCAGTCTCAAGAAGGTTGGCTCCGCTCATGGACGGACGACTTGACGGGATGGTCCGGCAACGTGCGACGTTGATGGCTCATGATCGCCCACAGGGCTGGGCCAGACACAGACACATTTATATATACCCATACTGAGGTTTCATGATGTTCGATGTGGTGTGGTTAGTCTGTACGTGCCTTTGCTCATGACTCTTCCTCATCTATGCAGACTAGGTCCTAGGTGTCTATAGCTCCATTGCATGGTCGCCGGCGCCGAGTGTTTTGTTTTTTTGTCCTCCTCTTGACCGACTCCAGGAGATTGATGCCCAGGACGAGGAGATCGCGGCTGCCACCAAGAAGCATGAGGAGTTTGTGGAAACTCTGCAGAAGCAGTACGAGGAGTGGAATGTGGAGTAGCAACAGACGTCAGAGATGCAGTCAGGGGTTGTGAAGTTGGTGGAGTAGCCACAGATAGCTGCAAGGGTTTGAGATGAAGTCAGAGAACTCCATCCTCACCACTTTGGGCGCATGGACATCGGAGGGCGAGTCTGGCGATCGGAGCCGAAGGCCAAGAAACACCGCTACTGGAGTCACTCTGAAAGACTTTCAACTGCCAGGAGTCCCATCCAGTGGATGTGACAGGGGCAACCGCACGTCGACTCCGAACTCTGAACGGTCTTGGGCTCCGGTCCCGCTAAAGGAAGTCCACAGTCGGACTCCCCCCGACGGTTGTTGGACCTGAAGGGGACCGATCATACAAGACCGATCGATCGAAGCAGCGTCTCCGAATGCGGGCGGGCGCAGTAGCGTGGGCAGGGTGGAAAGTCCTGTCTGGATTTGTCCGCGCGGGTGGCCAGGAGTCAGAGAAGGCCATGTCAGAGAAGAAGAAGGAAATCAAGGCACGACAGTTCTTGAGATTGTAGACGAATGCTTTGGAAAGATCGTTCTTTTTTTTGGGGGGCTGAGGGCCAAGTTGAAGGACTTTGTCGACTAAAAGGCTTTAATAGCCTGCTAGGACAGTCTTGGCAGCTAGGACTTGGGGCCCAGAGGGTTCCAGCTTCTTAGAAGGGTAGCCCCTTAGCTGTGATTCGGGGTGTCCATTAACCACCCCTTTTTCAGGCCCTGGTTAGAAGGGTAGTCTCTTGCAACCTGGTAGAAGATGGGCTCAGGGCCCGAAAGTTTTTGGGGGGAAACATGCCCTCCTCCACCGACCCAGGTGAAAACGGGATGCCCCACGAAAAACCACTGAACACCAGCTGACCGCCTGTTGAGGAGGGTGGCTTGGGCCTGATGAAGGCGGTGAAGGCCTATCGCAAGTCGGCCACTGGGCTGCAGCCGCGACCGGTGGAGGAGGTGCGAGTGGAGGAGGGTGACTTCGCAATGGGGTGACGCGGTGACGAGGCCTTTAAACTTGGGATGAGGTTCTCTGGGGCGGACTGGTTGGCCAAAGTTTTTGGAGAGTTGAGGCGAGGATCCTGACTTGTAGATATGAGATGATATGAGAGACAGTTGTCATGCTCAATGCTCGGTGCCCCAGCACCATGTATGCAAGATATGGACGAGGCCAAATGTTCTTTGCGCCCACGAGGTTCAGTATGCTATAGGACTAGATGACATGGGATTTGAAGAGCATAGACTGCATAATTCACATATTTCCAAGTCATCTCCCTTTAAAAACTCCTATGCGATCTCAACCCAGGAGGGATTTTCGGTTTTGCTCTCGTGAAGTGGATTTGGGTGATCAACTCTCAAAACATTCTGTTCATGTTTGGCTCCTTGAAGACCACCGGCCCAGGTCAAGAAAGAAGAGCTCTGAGTGGCTTTCGGATGTCTTTTGCTCGGTTTCAGGGGTGAGATGTTGCAGATCTCATAGTTTTGATGCCCCACTCTCCGATGGGGGTTAGCTGCCTGCCCGGCCACCAGTTCCGGCTGCTACCTGCTACCTCTGGAGGATGCAATGCTCCAGAGGTTGCACTGCGTGTGGAAAACACGCTTGCATGGGTGAATATCATACCTTTCTTATCATCCTTTCTGCTGGTCGTTCCTAGCACACCACTCCAGGCTTTTACTCCAAGGCTTTGGTTCACGGCCTCCAGAGAAAACCCACGTCCGAGTCCACATGCCGAAGACATGAAGACAAGATATGTTGTTGCCTGTTGTTGCGAAATTCCGTTTGAAATGAGCCGCCCAATGTTCGCGCGCGGGATGTTTGTCCATGTTGCATATCAATCTTCCCCGGTGAAACCATTTCTGACAGGTGTGAATTCGTCCAACCACGGCTGATCCAATGTTTGCACGTAAGAGCACCACTTGCACCACTTGGGTCGCGTGAGAAGTGCGAGGGTCGCCTGGGTCAGGGAGAACGACAAGAGGAAGCTGGATGAGTATGAAAAGCTGGTGCTAGAGGAGTGCTACACATCGCATGTGTGCTACACATCGCATGTGTGCTACACATCGCATGTGGGCTGCTTGTGACTTGTGTCATGATCGGTTGTTTGGTGCTCACACGGGGCCTCCAGAGATTTCTCCGGTCAGAGGTCTGTTGAGCTGAAGCGTGACATGTTCCAGTCTCTTCTATTATCCCTTGACTCGTCGATGTTCATGGTGCACTTTGGCAGGAGCAACAGCAATTGGTCTTGATCTTAGTTACAGGATCTTGGAGATTGCAACCATCAACCAGCCTTAATGAGGCAGTGCGGCAACTAGTACTGTAACATACTGTAACTAGTTTGGAATTCTCCCATTCGTGATTTGGGACCTCATTCACTGAGGACTGTGCGTTCGTTGAACACCCTCAGGTAATAGTCCCTGCACGCGTGATATCGGTGGAATGTTACCATGCTTGGAGTTGCAAAAGCTATTCGGAACACCCAGGGCCACCCGTTTGATGGGGCAAGCCCGCCGATCTCCCACGCTGGACCCATCCTCCATGTTTACCCTGACCAGCTGAGAAAGCTGAGAACCCTCCGGAGACCTCCTGTTCTCTCCGAGGAAGAGTTACGGAAGCAGCTGGCACGGGAACAGGCCGCCGGCTCGTGACGCTCCGGGGCTTTGGCCGACGTGGCGCCCCCAGCGGACGACGCTCCGCTCACGTGACGATCATAGACTATCATCGACCACAGCTGGCCGGATCGACCACTCCTCACATCCACTCCTCGCGGGGCTTCGGGTCGACCTGGTCCTTGGAATCGACCTGGGAGCCTCATGCCGCGTCGACCGCGTGTCTTGTGCCAGGAGCTTCGTGAACAAGCGCAACTCACCGTGCGGCGCCCAGTCGTGTCTTGAGGGGTGTGAGAGGGTGGGGGGCGCCAGGGCGCCAGCGGCCATGAGTCCCAATAGAACGCCACTGGAGCAACTGTGAGTGAATGTTCTTCGCAGTGGTGTTTGGGCATTTGGAAGCCCTGCGAGGGCTTCACAGGAACTGATGTGGCTTGGTCTTGCGTCAGAAGCTGCTTTGCGCGCGCCACCTTGGCTTCAGTGTTTGACCTGAAGGCTTCTGTCGTCTCACCCCCAGCTGACTCGTCCAGACGCGGCCCCCGCGCGCAGATCCAAAACATGAAGGAAGATTACGAAGCGAAGTTGGCCGAGGGCCCAACCCGTCGGGCGGGCGACTGGATGGGCCAACCTGAAGGCTGCAAACAGGGCGTTTTTGTTTTTTTTTTGTTGAGGAGTTCTAAGGGAGAGATGTGATGTGGAGCTGGTGGCTCAAGGTGGGAGGTTCAGTGCTAGAAAGGGATGCAGAGGGGCTCAGCAGCTCCAGAAACATAAGGGAGGAGACCTGAGAACATGAAGCAGTGGTGCAACGGCTAACGGGCCATAACAAGCTGCTCTGCAGCATTGTCCATCCTCATCTTTGGACTAGTAGCTGCCATCCTCTTGAAACCTCCTGGAGTGAACTTCACCTTCTCTTCATGATTCCCTTCAGTGCCACGGCTTTCCGTCCCACTCCCACCACCCATTCCCACCATATCCGAAGAGATGGGTCCGATCGGTGGGGGGGGTCGTGCTCGGGCAAACGAACACCGCGCGAGAAGGGGAAGACGTGGAGCTCCCATAGGCGTCGCGGCGTCCCGCGGCAAGACGAGACGTGGCCCATTCTTGTTCCGGCCCGTTCGACGCTTGTTCGGCGAGTGCTGGCTCAAGCAGGATCCGCTTTGGGGGGGGGAACAGGTGGGTGGAATTGAGGGCCGATGCATCTGCAGGAGATGTCCTGCTCAACATCGGGTGCTTGTTTCCGGCGCTATTTTGATCGATCCAGTGATTCAGGTCAACGCTTGTCATGGAGTCATGGATCTTCAACTAGGTCCACGGAGTGCACTTCACAGAGCGGCGGTTGGGAGGCATAGTTCACCCAAAGACACCCACTAGGCCGCAGATGCGCGCAGGTTCGTGGAGGAGTGGTGGTTCAGATGCCAATTCTATTGCTACCCCAGTGGTAGTGACTGCATTTGGTTTCAACATACCACTGGAGTAGGTGGTATTTGGTTGTTGAACCAATTCTTTCAGACTTTGCTCCCTCTCCTCACCACTGCCACCGGCCAATCGTTCCGCCATTGCGTTACCACGGCGATGGCGGATGTGGACATGGAGGCCGCCGCCGCGCTGGACGCTTGGGTTGGACACAGCTCGAGGGTGGTTCAGGCAGGTCTCCAGGGCGTGTCTCTTGTTTCGTTTAGACGGTGAATCGAGAAAAAACGCTCCTCCAGACATGGATTGTAACACCTTTTCGGGCCGGGGTGGTCGAACTTTCATCAACACCGCTAGTTCATGGACGTCCTCCCCACATCTCTCCCTCTTCTTGAGACCACTTGATGTTCTTGGTCGTTTTTTCTCCCCAGGAAGGGTTGGGATAGGGATTGGATAGGGATTGGTCGTTTTGCTTGCTCGAACTTGGACCCGCCAATAAGGACACGTCATCAGTGACCTGCCGGCGGCCCAAACAGCTGTGTTTCGACCCAGGAGTGTGGGAGCGGCATCCCCTCTCAGTCTGTGTGCTTGTTTGATCTATATATAATTGTTAGATTATATGATATACTATATATGGTTTAAATGGCTTCATCGGAGAGATGTGCAACTTGGAAGGCCCAGTACACAGGATTCCCAAGGGGACTTTGACCGTGAAGGGCTTTGGACAAGGTGGGTCACTAAGTGCTTTTTCTACTCACTACTCTATGTCTATGCCAGATGTTTGCTTCAGTCTCCCGAGGCCGAGGGCATGGCGTGGAGCCTTAGGTTTTCATTTCAGCGCTCGACGTGCGCCGTGCTTTTCCTCCGTGCGCGCTCGTTGCATCTTCGGACCTTGGGCATCCAACACCGTGGTTTCTGCGTCAAGTTGACTTCAAGTACGGATGGCCGGGATGTCCTCCCCTTGCTGACATGGGTTGTCATGGGTTTTCATGACATCCCGTTCGACTCGGACGAGGTCTCTCGCGTTCGACCTGAGGCTCCGGTGTGCTTGCGGTGGAATGGGAGCCCAAGGCGGGAGGTCACTAAGGTCAGATGCCGTTTTCGTCCCAAGATGTTGGTTACCACCACCACGACGACGACTACAACAACAACAGCTGCTACTACTACTACTCCTCATACTACCACTACTACTACTACTACCACCACCACTGCTACTACGGCTGCTGCTACCGCTAATACAATTCATCATCATCGTCTTCCACTGTTACTGGTCAGGGGGTATGCCCAAGAGATGCCCTTCCGAACCACTAGGACATGGATCAGATAGAAGATGCGGCGACAGGTGGGTGAGCGGCTTTGTAGCGCCTCCCTGGACGGAAGTCTTCGGCTTTGGGACGCCAGCAGCGGCGAATGCCTGGATGAGCACCTGGGCGCTCAGTTTTGGCGCTCATGGTCCCACCAGAATTTTCACGACAGCACACACGCACAAAGATGCACACACACACACACAAGTGAGTCACGCAGTTTCGACCCGTGAAACGGATCTCCATGAAGAAGTGGCCACTTTGCCCAGTGCCCTGTTCTACTTCCGAGGCTGGAGACCTCGGATCGTGGTTTTGCCAGTGGGGGGGTGCCCAGGGGAGAGGCCTATAGCGCCTTTTCTGTTTTATTCTTTTTCTCTCACCCAGGGGAAGTTAAGAAGTTGGCATGTTGCCAGTTGGATGAGGATGGATGAGAAACAAGAATGATTTTACATACTGTAAGACATTTCTTCCGTTTCGCGTGTTCCGGAGAGAAGGTGTGAAGTGGCGACGTGTCGGTGTTGACCGGGGTCGTCCGGAACCATCCACTGTCAGTCTCAGCCGCGGTATTGAGGCTGCCTCACCTGGGCGCCTCATGGTGCTCGATTGGCCAGCGGCTTCCAGGACTGCAGATGTTTTTTTCGGGCGAAAAGAGGGGTGATGGGTGAATGGCGGAAGGAGGGAGAAAAAAACGAAAAGGAGGTGAGGAATGCATGTATTTGAGTTGAATTGGAGTAAAGGAGTCTTATCTCACCTGGTTGGGAGGTGTTAAGCCACCTTACTGATTTCATCCGGGCACCGTGTTGGCAATGGTGGTTGGTTGTTTGAGCATGGGATGACCAAGAACATGTTTCTAACATGCACTTCTTGGACATCGCCAGGAATTCATTGGACACCAAGAAGGGCTTTTGGTCTACTTGAGGCTACCAGCGAGGTACACCAGAAGCCGCTGCCACTCTCCAGACACGGACGAACCCCTCCCCCCGCAGAGTCGGCGGCTGTCGAGTCATGTGGATCTTTGTGTCGCCATGCTGTTTGGGTGTCCTATGGGCTGACAGGATAGTTTCGGATAGTTGGTAACTCTCTAGGGTTATCTAATCAATCTAAAATCATCTTGTCCCAGGCGTCCGAGTCCACCAAACTGCGGGCCCTTCTTCGCCTCCACCGGTCTGGTCGCGAACGTCTCCCCTTTTGGGGGGGGGGGCACCGTAGACTACCCGGTGATCCCCCGTCGGCCGGGTTTGGGGATCGGTCAGGATGGCACGGTCTTGATTTGGCATCCCAGCTCCGCTCTATCGGTGGTGAAGTGCAAAGGTCACACCAACCAGGCGCGGGTGTGGCCGCGCCGGGCGCCGAGTCCGGGCCGTCGCCGGTGTGCATTTGGTGGATTTGCTGGTCATTGGGTGATGGCACCCAACGGAGAGCCCTGAGAAAACGTGAGCAGTTTGGGAAGTAGAACTTCGAACCCCGCAATGAGGATTGGAATTAGAACTTCGAACCCCCCGTTTTTTCGAGTTGGTGTGCCACGGTCGGAAAGAGGCCCCACACCGCCCGAAAAGCCACCACCACATTGCCCGGACGCAAACACTGCTCGCTCTATCCCATATTAAAAAATACGGGTTTCTTCAGTGCCCAGTACTTATAGCTTCAGTTGACTGTGAGTGAATACATTCAGGGGTGGAGACTTTGCCAGAAGCCATTCATCAGCGCGTTTGGAAGGATTCTGGGAACCCTACGCCCCGGCATTTCTCCACCAGGTGCGATGTGTAGCTTGGAGTTCCAAAGGCTGGGAGGTGGAGATGCGGGAGATGCTGGGAGATCAGAGGCTGCAATTGTTGGTTCCTGCAGGAGATGTGTGTGTGTATATATAGGGTCTGTCCTATTACCTGTAACAGTCAGTCAACAACCATTACACTTTTTTGAACAAGGCCTTTACTGACCATCATCATCCACTGTTACACGTAATAGGATAGACCCATTATATATATCTATGTATTACAAGATTACAAGTGTGTATATATATATATATATGTATGTATAGATGTGTATGTCACATAGATACATATACATATCCGCGCCCTTTGGGTCCAAGTTTCGATGCTCCTTCACCCTGGAGCCACGGTCATTACGCTCCCCCCGTGTCTCCAGGCAAAGATCGCGTCGCCAGCGGCTCGTTGGATGGGACCATCAGGACGAGCGGATGGGGTGGAGTGCAGGGTGAGGTTGAAACCTGATGTATAGACTCTTGACAAACACCTCCCCTCGCCACATCCTCTTCATGTGAGGGGGCTTGATTCATCAAGAGTGATTACTTCGTACGTCGCGCGGATACACGCGCGCGCGAGCCGCGGTGCGGAGCCGACTCGAGGTTTCTGCTTGGGGCCGCTTGCCAGTGCTTCCATTGTTCTTCCATTCCATTCCACTGGGGCTCTTGGCTATCCTTCACCAGAGGTTCTTTGAGCCCTATTGTTCTTCCCCATGACCCCAAAAAGGTGAGCTGGAGCCATCGGAGTTTCCCAACCCTGACAGCTGGACTCCTTGAGTGTTGGTGCCAAGAATGCCAAAGCCTGCTGGCTCTGAAGCTCCTCGAGTCCGTGATATCTTTCTTGATCGATGTTTTGAGAGATGAGGAGGGCCTTTCACTTCGTGAAATCCCACCGCCTGTTGACAGCACCGTCTCTCTTTCAACAGCAAAAAGGCTGTCATAGGTGCGTCTATGTGCTTATGACCTTTGGTGTTTTGGTGCCATGCTGCCAAGCTTTGTAAGGCACCTCTGAGATTTTTTGCCTCAGGATCTGGGAGCCGCTGAAAGGCTGGGCCTCTTCCTCTGCTGGGAATGGTTTTGAGGGACTCAGGCGGCTGCAGGCCTCCGGTCGTTGACAAGCAGGGAAGAGATTGGAGTTTCTTTGGGCAAAAATCCAAGTCCATCCCATCTGATTCCTTCTTTGCTGGGTGTCGCCCGGTAGCCCTATGGCAGACTTGGGAGCGGGTGGGGGGGTGTTTCAGGCGCGGTTTGGGGTCCTTTGTCCCCCACGTTGGGGCGATACCACATATAAGAAGAACCCACGAGCATCATAAAGAGAATATAGAGAGCACAGACAGCAAGCAGACTACCTTCCCAAACCCTGTGTCCATTGGTGTCGGCCGCTGCGACGAGGTAAGTCTCTGACGAAGTGTCAAGGGGATGGCGGCTATGCCTGCAGCTTAGGTAGCTCAGGCAGCCCGGGTTCAGTTTGGACAAGAGCTCTCGAACCACCCATTGCATGTCTTGCCACAGTCAGCGTCAGTCATTCCACATCAGCTAAGTCAAGTAAAACTCGCCGATCCCCGTCATTCCCTGCAAAACCCGCCGCTCTGGATGGGCCCATGAGCCGCGCCCGTGGCCGCTCAGTCACTCCCAGCTGGTGGCTTTTTAAATCTTCTTTACCTCTAGAGGCCTCCAGAGGTTGGAAAACAACTCCAAAAAGCCTGGGGGGAAGGCTTCGAAGGTTTTCATTTTGTCTTCGTTTTGCCCTGCCTGAGGTCTATTGTCTTCTTTGGCATCCGGATGGTGCTCAGCTGGTGGCCGGCAGCACCGACGGCGTAGCTCGCGTGTTCGAGACGCAGAAGGGCCTATGCTTGGTGCCTTCGGCGGCACCTGAGCGGTCCAAGCAGTGCAGAGGTTCCGAGAGCTGCGGAGGTGGATCCTGGATCCATGGTACTTCCGGGATTGAGGCATGATTTTGGGGAAGATTTTGGTTCAACACGAAGGGCAAGGGCCTCCTTCCCCTTCACTTGAGGTCCGAGGTCAGTTTTTTTTCCCCCTTTTTCTGTCAATTCTGGAACATGTTTTGCCCAGACCATCCATATTTATATGGCCAATTTCAATACAATGCAACACGTTGGGTTGCTTGACCTGGGTCCCAGGCACAAATTGCAGGTACAGTTTGATGGGTCCATTGGGTCTATGGGTTGAAGATAAACAGACAAGTTCGGGAGGCAAACTGGACTACAAACAGACAAGTTTGGTCGACTGGTTTCCGAGTCGACGCCACAAACCCGAAGATGTCTTGTAGGTATTGGTATTCCATCTAAACCAAACCTTGGGTCTTGTGCTACCCACTTCTGAAACCACTATTACTGTACTGGGTGAGGCCCCCCCCTCTGCAAAACCCGTGATCTTCTTGGGTTTGATCACCCGCTCGCAGCGGGAACCGGAGGAGTTCCGGTCTGGAGGAGTTCCGTTGCGCCGCCAGGTGCGCTGTGAAGGCCACAAGGGCCCCATCTCCTCCATCGCCTGGGGTCCAGGCGCCAGTCCGATCGGACAGAGGTGGATCGGAGGGTGAAGGTTGTGTTTCTTTTTTTGGATATGATGTCCCTAGACTTCCAAGACAAAAAATGGTTGACCTGGGTTAGTTAGTTTTGTTAATGTCAAATCCTTAGTTGATTCGGGATTCAGCCTATTAAATTAATGGTTGTTGGAAGCCTAGGGATTTCTTACTTCACCTCTTCTATGCACCTGAGTTCAAACGTGTGGAATATGGGGGTTGGATCCCTCTTTGCGACGGTGTTTGACCAGTTTATCGGCTCTTGATCTGGGGTTGTCCGAACATGCCGCCCGGAAGGCCACACCCATTTCGCCACCGGCTCCCATGATGGCCAAACCTTAGTTTGGAGCAGCGACACGGGGCAGAAGGCACGCGAAACGACTCAGACGCAACAGACTCGGACTGCTCGGCAGGAGGGCTGATATGGAGTTATATAGTTAGAGTTTCCTTGAATGGTTCCGAACTTTGGTAAATGCCATCAATGGGATATCAGGCGGTTCTCCTTTTACAGCTCTTTTTCGGAGTACGTAAGTAGATGGCGTTTGGGGGGCCCCTACATGTCTTAGACAGATGGGGGCCCCTATAAACCACCAGTCACTTGGACGGTGTGGTGCCATCTGAAAGAACTCCCAGCGGTGCATGCTCAGGTGGCCAGTTGTGGCGCTCCCGACCGGGTCGGGAAGCTTAAAGAAGGCATTTGAGATCGGGGGCGGTTGATGTAGCAGAATGTGCTACAAAACGGGCCAGGTATATACAAAAAGGTTAAACGCATCCAAAACTCACCTTGCAGCCCTTCCGCAAAAGACCCTCGATCGTTTGTCGGCCTAGACGAACCCAGGAAGGTAGGGTGTTGGCCTGGACACCCTTTGGACGTCCTTCGCGGACTGAGCCGGCGGACTGATGCCGGCGGGGCGCCAAACGGGTGACCGAACCCATCTACAGTCCGAGCGTTCGAGCCCTTTTCGAGCCCTTTAGAAGCTACACTCCTGGGTCTGGGGCAGAACCTGGACCTTTGAAAGTCGTCCAACAACGCCAAGAAGCCAATGTCTACGGAATTTTAGAGTACCTGCAACTTGGTACCTGTGCATGGGAGTAATATAGGTTCAAGGAGTTGGAGACATGGAGTTCTCATAAAGTTATGGGAGAAGTATTCACTCCCATACCACTCCCACCCCCATACCACTCCCATACCACTTCCATATCACTCCCATACCACTCCCATTGGTATATGCCTGGTATATACCATGGTATACATAGCCCTCCATAGTGGAGGTACCGTGTAAAGGAGGTTATACATTGACAATGGGACTGTCCACCGATGACGAGGTCTACAGCATCGCGTGGAGGTGGGTGCGCCGGTGCGCAGGGTCTGCCCAACGGCCCACGCCGTTCGGTTCGTCCCCGCGGAGACCGTGGCCAACGCGAAACGGGTGGGGCGGCCCCTGCGAAAAAGTCGGCCTTACCAATGTATATGCTGCATCTTTTTCTGCATTCCCAGTGGCAGCTCCAAGGAATTCGCACCCCTTTTTGCTGATATTCCTCCTGAGTTGATAAAAGACTTCGATTTATGAATCCCAAATCAAGCAGGCATTCATAATATGGCCTGTTTCTAGATCTAAACAATCGCCTGACATCACCTGACACTGTCCTCAATTTGTTGTCGCGTCTTGATAAGTCTGCACCATTGGGATGTCTTAAACTCCGTCCTGTACAGAGTAGCACGCTCTCATTGAACAGACAGGGGGAGGGAGACAGAGATCCAGACAGCATCACCGCTACGAAGAGAGAAAGACTGGGAGAGATCGAGGAGAGCAAACACAGAGAGAAAAAGCAGAAGAAGAAGGAGTAGAAGAACGAGCTGCTGCTGATGAGGAGGAGGAGAAGCACCCTTGTTGGCAAGGAGGGAATTCCTGGCTTGTGGCATCAGTCTAAGTCTTTGCGATTCCTGTGCGATACCCTCCGACTCACGTTCTGTAGATGGCATGGTCCCTTGGACGGCCTCATCCCCTCAATGAACACGGGGGCCCCGTCCCACTTACTGTAGTACATGTACAGTCGGAGGCTTCGACGCATGTACATGTATCACATGTACACATAAAACAATCAACCATCTAAATACTATACAGTTGAGTTGGACCGGCATGTCCGAACCCATCCGAACCCCCCTGGTCCTTCTTGGAGGACCCTCCAATCGCAGCGTCCATCGGGTCGGGTTCCGTTTCGGGTTCCGGTCCGCAGAGCGCGGGGGCGGGTGGAACGGTCCAGGACGGATGCCCAGCGTTCCAGACTAGCGACGGGATCGCATGACGGCACCATTTGCATGTTCGATGCCACTGCAGGCGTCTGCCGCTTGGTCTTATTCAAAATGGCTGAAACACAGGGGAAAAGCAGCTGGAAGCTGGGTGATGACATTGGTTGGAAGATTGGATTGGATTCCTCCGGATGGTGATGGTCGTGGTGGTTCAACATAGGCTGGGGTTGTGTAATTATTGCCACATGTGATATTACCCCGTGGAAAACTCACTTGGACCCTGAAAACTATAGTTTTGTAGAGGACGACAGTGTATTGCCACCTGACTGTGCCAACACCCCCAAACTTTCTCCGGAGATGTCGCTCTTCCACTACTGCATCCAGTTGAGCCCGCAACTCCATGAACCAATCACGAAAGGTAGCTTGAGCTACCTGAGTTCTCCTTGCTTTAGCAAAAATGTATTACAATCAGGAGTTGGGATTGTGCATTGAATTTGGTCCTGTAAGAGTTGATTCTGTTCGGCGGGGGGGGGGGGCCCCCCCCCCCTGGATCAAATCCCCCCTGCGCCGGTTCACGCCGTCGTGGACTTCTACCAGGGTTACTTGTGATTGCCTGCTACCTTTCGTTCACCCCCTCCTCTCTCAAGTGATTTCTGGGTGCGCCGCAAGGAGCGAAAGCCGCTTGCACCTGTTGTCCAACACATCCACATCGACCGATCCGCCGCCGCGCCATCTGTCCGAAACCCTCGGCCGCCTCCAGAAACCCTCGGCTCGGGACGAACCCTCGAGCTCCCCGGGCCTCTTCCCGCCGCGATGTCCACGCCGCGCCGGGACGCCGGCGATGCCGCTGCGGGCGCTGCGGGCCTCTCTGCGGAGGAGGTAGAAGCGCTGCGGCAGATGCACGAGGAGGTGAGTGGCTTGGCAAGGTGCGTGGGCGACCAGTGACGTGCTTCAAGTCTCACTTTTTTAGATCTTATTTTTTTGGTGGTTAGCATATGTTAGCAAGCACATATATATATACCCTACGCAACCAAACCCGATAAATTTGTAGGGTCTCAATCGGAACCTCGGGTATTCTTGTGAAATCAAAAATACCTCAGGTTTGTTCTTAAAACCTCGGGTCTTGCTTTTCTAAACCGTGCTAAACCCATATTTAACCCGTACTAAACCCATATTTAACCCGTACATACCCGTACTAAACCCGTATTTTAATATTGGTTTGGAAAACCTGGGGTTTCCTTCAGAAACCCTAGGTTTTTCCATCGACCCTACAAATTTATAGGGTTTGGGTGCGTAGGGTATATAATATACCTACACTGTGCTCGTTCAGTTTGGTAATGTGCAACCACGACCAACGAACGGACCTGTGGTTCTTCGAACCACTGACCTCCGGAGATAGAGGGAGAATCTCTTCACAAATTGTGGACCACCTCTGGTCTTCTTTTCACGAAAGGTTGCCCTTTAGGGGATACCACCTTGGTAGGATACTCGCTATCCTACCTTTCGTGTCTCCCTCCTCTCAAGTTCCGGATTGGATGATTCTTTTCCCAACCTGGGTGACCTCCGGCTTCGACAGCCACGGTCCTCTGCGGGAAAACCGCACCGAATCCTCCGCGGCCTCGGAGCAGAGAACCGCGGTTCCAGCGGAACCGCGCTCGGCCTGCTCCGGCCTCAGGTCGACAATTGCCAGATCGAAGGAGCGAAGGAGATTCACAGTGGTTGGCCAATGGTGCTCAGGTGGAGCTGCAAGCGGTGCATTCGCCGGTGCACGCGCCAAAGCCCGAACAATTGAGTAGAGCTAGATACTAGACTCTAGAGTCAGAGGTTACTCAGCGCGCATGACTCGAGGTGTGGTTTTGAGGTGGGAGTGTAAGACATGTTTGGTGATGTTCGTTTTGGGACTTGGGAGGATGCTGAGAGGTGACCTTCAACCCCTGCCGGTCCGAAGTCCGCCAGGTGGAGCTGCATAGCCTTCAAAAGGCGCAACAGCTCAATGGTCAGAGGGGCGAGATCGTCGGCTTCGATGATAAGCAGCTCCCTGCCCCAGCTTCGATGATCGTCGGCTTCGATGGTTTGGAAGGTGCCTCATGGGCCTCTTCACCGCTGTCCTTTCCCCCACTTGGTCACATCTGCTTGTGGGTCAAAACCTGGATCCCCAAACCAGGCTAGGTTGACCTCCTTAGTAGTCCATTCTGTTCATTTTCTCTGGTCAACCCAGGTAGCCTGGTTTTGACCCCCACCCCTCTGGGCCCCTTCTTGGATCTGTGTACATGGCAGGTGGCAGGATGACGTGTCGTGAAGTCAGCGGGGACGGATTGAATGGCAGGTGGAAAGCACTGGGAAAGACACGTAGGGCCTAGTAGGGATTCGGGGAGCATATTTTTGGCGTTGTGGCTGCCTCATCGAGGTCTTCAAGAAAAGGGGAGGACGGTTTCGGTGCTTTTCTTGAAAACCGACATGTCCATCTCACTAAGGCTTCGATATCGAGTTCGCCTGCATTCGGACAACTCGGTGAAGGTGGTGGCGAAGAAGAACATGCGTTCCTTGGCCAGTCATCGGCCAAGAGCAAGAGATATACATAAGCCCTGGAAGTCAACGACTATAAAGAAAATGGTCTTTAGGTGGCACGAAAAGGAATGTCCTTTACTTCAGTCAGTCAAAATATAGTCCTTTGGACTTCTAGGGTCAATGCAACTGACCATGGAATCCTCTTCGTCTCGTTAAGATCGAATGCGCAGGTTCATCATCCAGATGTTCTTGGTCACATGAAACTCTCACGCAGTACATTGATGTTTCATGACTCTTCATGTTGAGGGTTCGCATTCTGATACTCTTTCTGTTTATAGGACATGGCTGAAGACCGCAAGCAAGAAACACGCCTGTCCCACCTGGTCGTTCAACGGAGGTGCCACCCTTTTTGGGGGAACCGCCCATGGGACATATGGGACCCGCTTGGAGTGCGCCAGGCTTACTCACCTATGAAGACCTTCAACTCCCGGATGTTCCGGACACCGCGCGCACCGCCGGTCTGGCCACCGCCGGGTCCTCCACCGCGTCTGGAACCCCACCAGCGGCGCCAGTGACGCGGGAGGTGGTGGTGAAGGCCAGGCGTCTGTTGGGGCCGTGGAGGGTTGGGTGTCCATCACCTCCATGGGCTCCATCTATGGGCTCAGGGATCTTTCAAAGCTTACTGTAGATAGATTAGGTCCGATTTGGTGGTTAGATAGAGAAATGCACAAATAAAGAAATGCACACGCACACAGATATATATATATATACACACATACATGTTGAATACATATATACATATATACACAATTATACACATATCACATAGATGCACTTGATGCTTGATACTCACTTATCTCACTACCTACAGGTCACACACACACATATGCTTGGACAGGGAGGGAATCTATTGCTAGTAGCCCCATCCAAGAGGGATGTCTCCGCAAGAAACGAAGAATCATGGACATGTGCGTGGTGATGGGGCATGTCCACATGGTCATCTGGACTTTTTAAGTGGGCACGAAGTATGAAAAGAGCTGTTGCGGGGGACCACATACATGGAACCATTCTGAGGCCTGAAGTTGGGCACTACAAGCTTCCAAATGTTGGAAAACGCCCTTGGGGCACGACGGTCCTGTGCAAACATGGGGACTTTCCCCTTCCATGTTGAGAAAACCTTTCACATCCTTTAACTAATTCGTCGTCCCACTAAGGTCCAATAGGTGGACGCTGGTTGACCAGCTACGCCGTTGATGGACCCTTTGTTCGGAAATGGCTCGAGTAATGAATGTGACAAAATCGTCGTTCCATGTCAGCACCATGGTGTGAACTCCATGCCAGAAATGCGGAGCCAGAGACTGTTGAAAACATGGTCTGACGAACGGGGACCTGATTTCAGACTTCTAAGGTATGCATGCATCTATCTATTTGTCTGTCTGTCTGTCTGTCTACCTAGCTACCTAGCTACCTATATATATATATATACACATACCTACAATGCATATATATACCTGTTTGTTGATTCCCTGTTTTTCTCCTACACCACGTCAGCACCATGGTGTTTTCCCTCGCTGAACGAGGCCATCGACCGGGTGAAGCGCGACGTCCTGGCGCTGCAGCAGCGCATCGCGGTGCGGCGCGCGGGGGGCACCGCGGAAGCCACGCCGGACATGTCGGACATCTTCATGAGGTTGACCGCCTCAGAAGAGATGTGTAAGGAGGTCATGGAGATGTACCAGAGAGACTTGGAGGATTTTTCTTCAGAGACATGTGCAAGTTGGAGACATGGGTTTTGGAGTAGTTAGGGCGTTTGGCGGGAAGAGGATGAGACTTCATTGTGCCTAATCAGCCTGTTGGGGGCAAAGGAGAAGAAGCACTTGGCCGAGTTAGGTATGGGGCATTTGTTTCTTTTTGGCCTTCTTCTGGGTTGTTCAAGTGAAGAAGGCCGCTGGACGGTTCATCCGGAAGCCTGTGGTTTGTGACAGTCCTCACCCAGCATGGAAGCTGGCAAAGGGAGGAAGAACCTCCTTTACCGAGCAGTTTTTCTCTCTTGATGTGAGAAATTCTTGATAATCTCACCACTCTTTGTGATAGGATTGCAAATGATGTCCGGGCCCAGCGCAACCTGCGGCAGTCCGCAGCAAACGGACGGAAGACTTCAGAAATTCTAGGGAGCCTGGCGGGAGCCTAGAGAAAGCAACGCCGTTGGGCGTGTCCCATTGCCTGTAACAGTCGGTCAAACATGATCACTATTTTGTGACTGGGCCTTGGTAATGGGATACACCAACAGCCATTCACTTGTGTCACTTGTGCTGGCAAGGAAGCCATGGGAGAGATGAAGAGCTGGACCTTCACGCAGCAACAGCGCTGGAAGCAAGCAACCTGGCTGTCAGGAGCCATTTCTGTCCAACCTCAAGTCTTGTTGCCACGAGAAACGCCCGGCGCACGATTGTTTGTGCATGCAGAAACCCTCAAGAGTACGGACATACAATACTTGATCAAACTAGTGGTACGCATTCTGCATAGTTGCTTACAGACCAACTTATGAGTGCAGAAGCACCTGGTAGGGCCATTAAAGCAGGGAAT